TCTTCTTCCATATCCTGTATTTTCATAAGAATGCTATAAAAATAAATCCACAAAAATATATATAGCCTTGTGCTATGTCAGGAGTGCATGAATATGTGAAATTAATATAAATAAACATAGGAAGCTCCTCTGTATTTGTCAATGTGTTTAAATTAATAAAACACATGTGAACAGATCAAAATTGTGTCTTTTTGCACATAAATCTGAAGTGTGATGCAGCTTCCATCTGTTTGCGTATGACTGATTGCACATTTTACTGTGACCAAACCTCCTCGTCTGATCTCAGAAGCTAAGCAGGCTTAGGCCGAGTTGGGCGAGACCGCTGGGAATACCAGTTGCCACAGTGGGGAGCTGTGCCAAGACACTTGACCATCATTGTCTGATAGATTCATTTTCTGCCAGTGTGTCAGGGGAACACTTGCCTTGAGGCATTGCCAGGTGTACCATGGAAACATTTCCAATTTGATTTGAGACACAAAAATTACGATTACAAATTGCCTAGAGCCATTTTTTTTTTAACTCAAAACTGATTTTGATTCATTTGATAAAGATTTAGTTGTGTGCTGCATCATCATCCTACAGCAAATGTGAGCTATAAATGAAACACTAGCCTAGTGTGTGTGCGTGTGTGCGTGTGTGCGTGTGTGTGTGTGTGTGTGTGTGTGTGCGTGTGTGTGTGCGTGTGTGCACAGATGTTACTTTGCACATATATTTTGTACAAGGCCCAAAACCTGTCTCAATTCATCATTTGATTTTGACTTTGTTGGAATAAAAATTTTATGTCATCAAAATAAAGTAATTTGAAAAACGTGAAAAAGCACGTACACTTTATAATGAGGGCTCAAAATAAGCTCCTGTCCATCATGGATCACCCCCAGCACCATCACGCGACAGGAGAGCACCTTTAGGGACAGTCCTGTGGTCCCTGTCCTGTCCCCTCCGCTGACACACCTTGGAAGTCATCTGTCCCCAGAGGTGGGGACTTGCAAGTCGTGATTTGGACTCAAGTCAGACTTTAGTCACTATTTTTAGGACTTGAGGTCTGACTTGATTAAATAGACTAAGACTTGCATCTCGACTTGGACTTGAAGGTCATTGACTTATGACTTGACTCGGTCTTGAGGTCAAAGACTTGACTTAATTGAGACTTGCAGAATAACAACTTGGTCCCACCTCTGTCTGTCCCACATGTCACATACATGTGTACAACACATCCCTATAAAGGATGAATATCCACAAGGATATACTGCTAATTTAATATCTTTTGTGCGTTGCTTTGTTTGCTGACGATCTTTAAATTTCCTTTGTGATCAATAAAGTATCTAAATTATATCATTGGGGGACAGGTCAGAATTCTGTGTCAGAATTTGCTGTGTAATTGTCAGATTACATTTTGTATCTACCCGGTTTATGGTTATGGTTATGATTAAGCCTGCAATTACTAGACCGACACCCACGTAAAATGTGGCATAAAGTTCAATTTTTTTTTTCTTTTTACTATTGTTGTCAATATTCAAACTCAAAGGTGTGATTTTTGTCAGTTGAAATGAATAAATATGGCAGATTTGTGGAGCCTAACATATACTGATCATGCTTATAAACCCGCAACTTTTGTTCATCCTATTTTTCTTCTGCTTTTCAGTAGTAAAAAAGTTTAATAGCAAAGTGCAGGAGATAAGAGCTGATTCCTGATTGGCCAGCGCAGATAGGGCTGCTGCTCTCTGATTGGTTGGGGGCATTTACATGAAACAGCTTGAAAGTTTTACAGTGACCTCTACCTTGATTTGGCCACATTGTTTCTCTACAGTTCAGTTGGTTCAGCGGTCAGTATCAGCAGGTAAGACTTGTTTCTGGGCTTGTATCCTCAGAAATATTCTGTTTTCTGTGCCTTTAAAGATGCACAGTGTCACTTTTAGGGCACTTCTTAGTATCCATGGAGGTTACATTTTTTTATCCATCTTGCATTTATTCAGTTACAGGTGTTTTAATTGTCTGAAAAATATCTCCACCTCTCCACAGACCTGTGTAATCACCAGCTTGTTTCCATAGAGACTGGTAAGTTGATGCCATGCCGATAAGTAACATCTGAGAAAAGTTACACAGTGCATCTTTAAGTCTGAAAATGATTCTGGCTGGGAAAGAGGAAACACTAGAATAGCCTACATGATACTTTCCAAAATTATAGTTCTATAAAAGTTGGACGAGGCTTAGAATTTTTACTTTCTATATCAGTCACTGCATCCCGTACATTCAGTGCCTTGCCCATGGGTACAATAATGCATCACGATTTATGAAAATTGTGTTTCCTCTCTTGGACGATTTTGACTTAAGGGCGCGGAACAAGTGGGCTGGCTAGTAGTAGTAGTAACAGCAATGAGTAGCAGTGATTTATGATTTTACGTTATTTGAATGCACAAAACAAAATCTGATATTTTCAAATAATTAACCACTAAAAAAAACTTAAGATCATAAGGAGCGGTGCAAGAAACGTAAATATTCAAATGCATCAAAACCATTATTATCACCAGAGCGACAGGAAAGTAATGGGCCTTTCAACAGAAAAGTTACAGAGTGCATCTTTAGCCCCTGGCATAATGGAGCGGTGTAAGAGACACAAATGTTCAAATCATTTAATATTGTCAACATAAAGCTTTTGTCACTTGTAGACTTACTCACAGTGAGAAGAGAAACCAAAACATTTATTCAAAATGTACAATCACTGAAAAACAGGAATTCTAACTGTGAGCTGGGTGACCTCTCCACAGATCTGACCCATACCTTGATAGATACTGACACACTTACTGTCAGTATCTATCTGTGGAACATTCAACAAATGCAAGCAGTATTATCTCCATGGAGACAGGCAGGTGGTGGACACTGCACCAGAAAAGTTAGATAGTCCACAATTAAGACATAAGGCATAATTATGGGTTTCAGTTTACAGTTAAAAACAAAATAGTTTAAAATTGATATGGCAATTGCACAATTGTTTCTATTGTAAAATTCTTGTATAGGTTACATTTTATGAAATATTTTTTGAAATGCAGGATCCATATGCCCTAACCCCTCATCTCCTCTGCAGTGTTACCATGAGGTCCCTGCTCCTGTCTCCAGTCTTGGTCCTGGTTTTGGTCGTGTTCCAGGTTGATCCGGTCTGCGGGGGTAAAATCCTGGTGTTCCCAGGTGAGTTTAGTCACTGGCTGAACATGAAGAGTTTGATCCTGGAGCTGCACCGACGAAACCACTCCATCAGCATCATCTTGCCATCAGGAACTCCATCGGTCAAGTACAACGACACAGAGCTGCAAAAGACCTTCAACTTTATTGTGTTTGAGGTCAGTATTAAACCAGAACTGAACCAGGACTCATTTAGGATTTAACCAGAACTACACCCAGACTAAACTAGGACTAGAACAGGATTAAACCAGGATTTAAACAGGATGGAGCCAGGACAAGGCCTGTCACAATAACACATTTTGAAGGCTATATTATTATATATAGTGCTTCAGGATATACTGCGATCATATTTTTTTGATATTGAAACTACTTTATGTCATTGATACAA